CACGGAAGAGTTTGATATCCAACCCCATTGGATAATGGGTTTTTTAATTATTAGTTTCCTTTTTTTTTGGTTACTTAAAAAAATAAATAGCTCTTGGAAGGAAATAGTACCTAATATGAAAAATTTTCATATCATGTGGGGGGAAAATAAATAAAAAGGAATAACAAAAGGAATTAAAGCATGCTGCCCTTTTTTTTCGTGAAGGCATTCAGAAGACTGGCACCTACTAATATTCAACACATTTTCAATCTAAAGGCAAGCAGAAGGAATATCGATCCCTAATAAACATAACAATCTTCGTGGCATAACCGTGAAGCTGTTGGTAAATGCAATTTACATATCCGATATCCTGAGAGATAAGATCTCACGTTCAACAACGGGGCTGATATGGAACTCCGGGTTTTCCTTGTTGTCTTCACAGCATTTTAGACAAATCAGTATAACCGCCTCGACAAAATCCTCGAAGGTGAGGTCAAAACCAGCCACGACCTCCGCATCCAGGGCACCCGAACTCCCGCTCGCCTTTTCAAATACTTCAAAGCCAAGGTCCCCTTGAGGGGCATTAAAGCCAGGTGGCAAGGAAGCCTGCGGCGGCGAGGTGCTGGAGTAGCGCGTCCGCAGTGGAAAAAGCTCACAAATGGTCCTTCGCAACTCGAGTCCATGCCTCCCCAGCAAAGGGTTCAGAAATCGCATTAAAAAGCGCACGGATAAAAAGTGCGCGTTCGGTTCGATGTGCTCCAGCTCCACCAGTCCGTGAAAGATGCTCCGCAAGGAATCTAAATGGGGCATCACATTCACCTCCTGGGCCCTTGTCTGGGGGAAAAGAGGGCTCACCGAGACATTGCCGGAAAGTCGATCAATAAAGTTCACGAACTTCTGGCCCACCGTCACGAATGAAGGCCCCACCACCACCACGTTCGCCAATCGTATGAGGACTTCGGTGAATTGTCGATAATTGAGATTGGCTCGTAGAGCATGCACCTCATCAATAAATCGGCGCTTGCGGATGGCCTCTTCGCGCGCGATGGATCCGGGGCTGTCGGTGGTGAAGTTGTCGATTTTCTCGGCGTGAATGGTGTCGAGCACACAACGCACCACCGTACTTACCATCACCACCCCACCCAAGATATGCACGTCATTGAGAAAGCGAAGGAGCTGCGGCATCGTAATAAGACCCGGCAAGCGATGTTTCCACCAGTTATCCGGCGTGGTGATTAAAAAGACCTCATTTTGCAAACAACAACATCGACGAAACAGCGACTTCATCCATGGATTAAAACGAAGTAAAATGGCCTTGGTCGATGCCACCACCTGCACCTCGTTTTCATCCGCCATGGTGCAGAGGTCCTCGATGTAAATTGAGGAAATGGCATTTTCGTAGCCCGGGACGGAAAGTGGGGGGAGGTTTTGGGGAATGTCATCCACAAAGGTCCCGTAAAACGGTTGGCTGATGGCGCCGATGAACTTACAGGTGCCATTTTTCCTTCCATTCTGCCAAGTGCCCTCAAAACGGCTACCATCGGCATAGTAGAAGATCCCTTGACCCTCACGTTTGCCATTCATGAAGCTACCCTCGTAGACGTTGGTACCGCAATCGAAGGGAATGACAAAATTACTGGGAATAAGAAAGTCACCGCTTTCGCTGATCGGGTTGTAGGTGGAGGCCCCCGACCCCTCGAGGTAGGTGATCATCGTGGAGCGTCCCTGCCCGGAAGGGAGCCCGTGGACCCAGGTGCCCTCATACAGCTCCGTATACCCCGCGGCGCCTTTCTTCCACGCCATTTCCCCCTTCCCGTGCCGCTCGTCGTGGGCCCAATCCCCCTCATAGCAATCCCCGTTGTGGTAGATCATCACCCCATGGCCCTGCCGTTCGTCGTCTTGCCATTCCCCGTCGTAGATATTCCCATCGGGGAATTGCTGCGACCCGCGGCCGTTCCGCCTCCCGTGGGCCCACGCCCCCTGATAAACCGCCCGCCCCCCATGCGAGCTCAGCCGGCCCACCCCCTGGCGAATCGAATAAGCCAAATGGCCCTCATAGCGGTCCCCGTTCGGCCAGATCAGCGCCCCTTTGCCGTTGGCGGCGCCGTGGTCAAAATGGCCCTGGACGGTATAACCGTCGGCCCAGCGCATGCAGCCAAAGCCCGCCATTTGGCCCTGGCGAAACGTCCCGTCGAAGCGGAAGCCCATGGCGGTCTGCACGTGGGCCGGGCCGTCGAGCCGGCCCGCCTCGTCCACTTCACCCTCGGCGTAGTGGAGGATGCAGGGGGGGACGACCCAGGACTCGGCCGGCTCGAGGCCCCGGAGGGTCTGGTAGGTCACCTCGGCCTCCCGACGGTCCATGGCTTGGGAATTCATTGATTGATTTATTACAGGGGGGGGAGGGGGGTTATCTCTCTCTCTCTATATATGTGTATAAAGATGCTCCTTTATCGACACACTATGCTATACTATACTATTAATAGACAGGGAGGACAAAGGGGAAAAATAGGTTGTGTGGTGTACGGGAAGGCAAACACCCCCCCTACACACATACACACACAAAAGGGAAAATGCCACGATGAAGGACATCGCGATGTTGATATATTTATATTAATCGAATGGAGGATTCACAGCACTTAAAAAAAAAATTATGGTGAATTAAATGAGCGGCATTATTCGATTGCAAGTCAAGGGTCCGTTTGAGGAACATACTGGGAGATGAAACGTTCAATAAATTGCTTGTCATCCAAGATTTGACCCTTGATTCGCTCCTCCCGATGGCGCTTTTGCTGTTTATTTGCCTTTTGACGGATAATACTACCTTGGCGTCGACTGAGCATTAGATTGAGCTTGAGCTTCTCGACTCCTAGGGTATCGCGTTGATTAGTTCCGTCGAGCTTCTGGACAGCGTGCAGAGCCATCGACTTATGGCGAAACGTCAGCACCGCGTACTGCGATTTATTCAACAAATTCCCTTTTTGGGTAATCCGAAGCTCGACTTTGGGCTGATAGGCGTCAAAAACCGTCCGAACCGCGTTTTTGCTCGTCCCGGGTTCAACAAAACAGTGCAGGCGGTACTCCTTTTTGGGATCTTTTTTGGCCTTTTTGGCCTTTTGGGGGGTCTCGTTCTGAGGATTTACCGCTTCCGCATTGCTGTCAACATCGGAGAGGAGATCGTCATCCGCCGGGTTCGGCCCCGCAATCGTCTCGCTACGCCTTATTTTTTTGGTCCCGCCTCGACGTTTGGGGTATCGCGCATCCCCATCCACCTCGCTTCCCCAAATCGCCGCGAGCTCTATTTGTTTTTCCTTTTTAAAGTCCAATTTTGCCATTTTCTTTATTATATCTAGATATATATATCGAAATAAAGACAAATCTACCTCACTATCATTTGATTTCTATAACAACTGAGCGATAAGAGGACTCTATGATTTAAGAAATAATAGGGAACCAAAAGATTAGTCATTAGGAAATTCGAATCAAACAAAAACATATATATATATATATATATGTATATATATCGCATGCGCTTGATATTAAATCAGCGTCCTTTTACGAATTTGAAGTTCATTCAAGATAATGAAAACTAAAGCGTAGAAGAATTAAAAATCTTCATTGGGGTTGCGCAGGATCGAATCCGGTGCGGGCAACCCCTAAAACGCAAACCATTAGCAAAAAGCTCATGCTTTCCGAGCACGTACCCTTCAGTTTTTAAACCCCATGAAATACCAAAACGCAATACGCACTAAACTAACAAAGAGGGGCTAGACAAATCTAGGACACTTCGGATTCGCCGCGATAATATCGCCCTTTTCCTTCGCATTAAATTCCAGCACCGTTCCAATCGCCGGGATCATTTTCATACGCAAATTGTCGTTCGCACACAAGAATTGATAAATGATATTTTTCACATATTCGATGCTCACCTGAATCCGCTGGTTGGATTTCATCTCCTCGATCTCTTTGGTGTATTCAATCACGACCTTGTTATTGTGCTCACACGACTTTTTAAGATCGGTGTTCTCCTTTTCAATTTCAGCGATTTTTATTCGCATAATTCGGAGCTCCTGGTCGCGCTGGCTTTGCGTGGTCGCCAGGGAAAGCATATCCCGTTCGAGCACACCGCTAGCCGCGGCGCGCAAGGCCGATTCGGTTTCGATTGAATCCTTTGGGATCCCAACAAGCCCCGAGCTCAGTTCCTGGAAGGCCCGATCGCGATGGGATTGCTCGCGCTGGCGTTTGACCTCTTTGCGCAGCAGCTCACAGCGCTCTTCGAGTTGTTTGTTCGACTTTTCCAACCGATCTACCTCATCCGGGTGGACCATTTCCCGCGCCAGCGCGTCGAGCTCCTGCGTGCGGGCTTGGAGGGCCTTTTCGAGGGCGGCGTTAGCCCGCTCCAGCCCCTCAACCGCGTCTTGGAGGGAGCGGTGTTGGTTCGCCTCCCATTCGGCCCGCTCCCGCAGCCGCGCGATCCCGCAGGGCAGCGAAGAGGACGGCCCATCGACGGACACCGAAAGCGCGCTGAGAAACGCACCCAACCCCTCCATCACCTCCGGCAGGGTGTGAAGTCCGTCCGAGCTCCCCCCATAGCGTCGGAGCAGCGCATGCACCGCGTGCAGGGCGGCGTCGAGGGCCTTTTCGGCTTCCCCGAGCCGGCCCTCCAACCCCACGATCGTCTCGCGCTCGATCGCGGACCGCGCGTGGAGTTGTTGGGCCATCTCGTCGGCCTCCTCGAGCCGCGCGCGCAGGCGGGCGGCCTCGAGATAATGCCGCGAGGCCGTCTGGATGGCCTCGTCCCGGGCCGCCGTCAGCCGCGCGCAGCGGCGCGAAACGTCAGCGACGCCGGCCGGATGATGACTCCCCCGGCGCCCCTCTCGTCTTGACTTTCGAGGCCGCCCTCGAGAAGGCCCCTGGAGGTCACCATCATCATCCCTATTAACATCCGCAACCCTATTATCTTCCACATCCTTATTACCACCCACA